CTCCACTCAGCTATCTCCTCTGTCTAAACAAACCTCAAAGTCACCTTTTGTTTTTCTGCTGAAAGGTGCCAGCTTAACCCTGGAGGCCAAGGCTTTTTCTCCACCAAATAGGTAGAGCCAGGGCAGCTTCTTGCACTGCCTTTTATAGAGACCATCTAGAGGTCAGGGAGGGTGTCGATTGGTCTCCATGGCCCATTTAGACCTTGACATCTCTGCTGAGACTGCCGGTAAGGAGGCAATTGGTTCCATCTGGGGAGGTGGCTAGGAGACATGCCACCTGTCTATAGGGAATTGGACTCATCGCAAACTGTAAGGGCTTCCTTTGATTTCCAACATAAATCCAACTTTTCCCTTGGCATTAAGAGGGATGGGCACTTTTGTCTGTCTATATTTATCTATGATGTCTCTATCAAAGTGTCAGGTTCAGACTGTGGGGTGGTTACAATTAGTTTAGAATGCAGTGAAGCATGTTAACAATGGGTTTCTTCTGCTATTGTAAAAAGAACAGGAGTACTTGTGGCACCTTAGAGACTAACAAATTTATTTGAGCATAAGCTTTCGTGGGCTAAAACCCACTTCATTGGATGCATACAGTGGAAAATACAGTAGGAAGATATATACACACAGAGAACATGAAACAATGAGTGTTACCATACACACACTATAACGAGAGTGATCAGTTAAGGTGAGCTATTACCAGCAGGAGAGGGGGGGAAAAAAACTTTTTCTAGTGGTAACCAAAATGGCCCATTTCCAGCAGTTGACAAGAAGGTGTGAGGACCGGTAGGGGGGAAAAATAAACATGGGGAAATAAAAACAACAACGAGTCTGGTGGCACCTTAAAGATGAAGAAGTGAGGTTTTTACCCACAAAAGCTTATGCCCAAATAAATCTGTTAGTCTTTAAGGTGCCACCAGACTCCTTGTTTTTGTAGATACAGACTAACACGGCTACCCCCTGATACATGGGGAAATAGTTTTACTTTGTGTAATGACCCATCCACTCCCAGTCTTTATTCAAGCCTAATTTAATGGTGTCCAATTTGCAAATTAATTCCAATTCAGCCGTCTCTCATTGGAGTCTGTTTTTGAAGTTTTTGTTGTTGTAATATTGCGACTTTTAGGTCTGTAATCGAGTGACCAGGGAGATTGAAGCGTTCTCCAACTGGTTTTTGAATGTTATAACTATTGTGTACTTATTCACTTGGGTGTCTCTGAAATTCTTCACAATCTCCTCTAGTCCTGGCTAATCTAAATCATTGTCATCCTGCAAATATTGCCACCTCACTGTTCACTCCCTTTTCCAGCTCCAACAATATTTTTCATGTTGAGAATAATATTCCCAAGTCATAACCTTTGTCCCTCTTAGCCAAAACGGGATCAGATGCCAGGTAGGAGCATTTCTTCATCTTGTCACTCAAAGCTGAGGATTAGCAGCATTTAAATGTAGCTAGCCTTTTAAGTGCAGATGACTAAAATGGCCAGCCTGTCCCGAGGACAGCATGATGCAGATCTGGCAAGTGCCTTTGTGTTAAATTCCTTCCTTCCCTCAGTATCTGTTCCCCTTCCCCTGCTAGCCAGCAGCCTCCTAATCTAGCGCTCTGCTGACAGCGCTAGCTCTAACTGCAGTAATGTAACTAGGGCCCAAACCAAAACCTCTCGATTTGAATGAAAAGGGATTGATAATATCTAATATGACTAGAAATATTTTAAGATGGCTTTTGACTGTGACCCTTCTCCAGATCCTAGTGTCGCATGAGCATCAGGCCTGTCAGTGTCAGTTATCATCTTTGCCACTCAAGCTTAGGGATTTGCAAAGTAAAAAGTTGACATTGATTTCTGTGCATTGTTCTCGTGTTTCCCTAGTAGCTCCAGCGACTGTAGGAACAGTCATTAGCGCGGGTGACTGGGAGTCAGAATTCTGGGCTCTGTTCCAAGTTCTGCCACATATATTTGCTGCTTATATTTTGTCGAACTCATAGATTGCAGGGCTGTGTTAACAAATTGTCTGTAAAATGGGCAGGGGCTACAGAGGTCTAAAGTGATGGCAATTGTGGATCAATCAGAGAGAAAAACAAACCTTGTAGCTTGCCAAGGATATTGTCTCAGTAACTCTGGGCATGCACAAGCCAAGTTATGAAGCTGCCAGTAGCCGCTGATTGGGTAGAAATCCTTTGCATAGGCAGTCATAAACTGTTAGTAACTTCTACTCTAGAGTTGGACTTAACCCTTAGAATGTTGGTAGTTTTCAGCTTCTCAGCCTGCCGGCTACTTAAAAGCATGTGTGTTTGCCTCATCCGGAGCATTAATTTCCAGCTGAAACAGGACGTGGAAGTGCTCTACCAAGTTAAAGTGTCCAGCAACAAAAATAACTAAGTGTTTTAGGATGATCTCAATTAAGTCCCTTTCCTCCGACCTGTCTCAGACAGGAAGTGTGCTGAACAGAAGCAATCTACCGACATCAGTGCAAAACCAACACAACAATATTTTGTTGCTGAGCACAAAACTCCAAAGGGTTTTAAACCAGTACCTTACAGTCTGAATTGATCGAGCTGCCTTGAACTGTTAAGAGTTTGGGAGTTCAAGGACTAGAAATTACATTGAGCCATAGCTCCAGACTGGCTATATTAGGCCTTGGACCAGTGCCACGAAAGCACTGCTAGTCCAAGGGTCCAGTGAAAGTTGACCTGCCAGGGCTACAAATCAAGGCTGCGTGCCATTAGAGATCACATCTTTTCAATGGCATTCAACAGGTGATTCGTAGCCCAGGTAGTTCATGAGAACAGACTTACAGCAGGGCTTTCCGTTCCCATTGTCCCTCTCTGTCCCTGTTCGGTTCTGCCCGGGATTAGTGGGTGGCAGCTGTCTCCAATGGCTAGTGCTCGAAAACAAAGTGGTGCTACGCATGGAGCTACTCTAGGCCCCGTTTCTTGCATAGTATTAGCTGTTAATCTGCAGCTCTCGGAAAGGGGCTACATCCTGGTGTTGGTCTGGGGATTAAAGAGGAATATGGTCAGAATGGTGCTGTCCACTTCTCACCCGTTGGTGTCCCTGCTAAATGCTCACTGTGTAACTTCTTGCTGGTCGCACTAAACCTCTCCATGCTTGTCTCTGCCAAGGTCTCGTGCCCCAGAGAAAGCTGAGTCTTTCATGGTGCTGTTGTAGATGGTGAAAACTCTTCACAATTTCTGCTAAAATTTTCTCAGGCATGTGCTTGAAAATCAGGGCAAGGACCAAAAGAGTCTGGGCCCTGAAGCTGGTCTTTGAGAAGGCTGGGTGTGGACTGAGGTGCTGCTGGGGGTGGCTATGCGCAGGGGTGTGTGAAGGCTGTGGGGTGAAGAGGATTGTTCGGAGCGTGGGTGCAGATGCTGCCCTGTGCTTGGGGCTCAGAGGCGAGTGCTCAGTCCCAAGAAGACTGAGTCTTTCTAGATTAGAGGAAGCAATGGGGAGAGAGAGTGACTCTCTTGTTTGCGAGACTTTGCCCATTGCCTGGTAATGAGGGTCAGCACCAGGGAAGCTGCTTTGGCTCCCAGCTTCTTCAGACTGTTCCAGCTAGAAGCGATTGTTGAGCACGGACACACACATCAAAAAGACCTTGTCCCAGTGACCCAGTCCTGGGCCGTACTGAAGTTAGATTCCTGCTGTGGAACGTGCTTTCAGGCCAGCCAGGAAGTGCAGCTAGTGCAGAGCGTGTTTCAGAGGGTATGTCCGTGCTGCAAATAAAAGGTGTGTTCTTAATGCTTGAATTCCACCTCAGGCTCCCTTACAGGTTTTAACTCCAGCTCCTAACCCAGTTAAAAGCCATGGGACTGTGTTCTTGCTGCTGTTGTAAGCCAGGTAAGCTAACCTGAGCTAAGGTCACACCTCTTGTTTGCAGTGTAGGCAGAGCCCTTGGCAGTGCAGATCCTAGAGCCCAGGTGCAGTCACTTACCAGGTGACACATCAGGTTTTAGATTTGCCCATACAAAGCTGCAAGTCTTCAGCGGGCCCTGATTGCTGGGGAGCAACTCTTGTGGTGCCAGGACTGGTGTGGTCAGCTGAAGTTTGCTGTCCCCTGGCCGGTAGCAGGGAGTTCTCAGTGAGGCATCCTTGGCTGTGAACTCAGACATGTCTATGCACCACATGCACCCCCTTGTCAGATAGCGTCTGGGCTGGGGCCCATCAGGGTGCACTGTGAGACTCCTCTACCATGGGGGTGTGGAGGGAGGAGGAGATGCTCATTCCTGGTCAGATGATGTGATTGTGTTTCTGCTCCTAGAGCCCTGGATAGGGGCTGTTCCGCATGAGCCATCAGGGCCGGATTTGAGGACTGACAGCCTCTGGGGTAACTTAGTGCAGGCAGGCCCAGAGCAGGGCTGGATTGCCAGGCGGGCATTCCCCAATCTGAGCAAGAGGGGAAGGGTCTGGGAGTGGCAAATAACCACTGGACAGGATTCCTTGGGAGCCAGCCCTGGAATGACCTGTCTGTAACTCTGGGCTTGTGGGGGTAGGGGTGGAGGGGAGATAGGGAGTGAGCTGTGGAGTACTGGGGAATGGGGAACCCCACCGATCTCTCTTCGTCCTGATGGTGGAAGCCTTGTTTGGGGGGCTGTTTGCCATCTGCACCCCCAATGACAGTCTGAGACTCCACATGCTCTGCACTGCCTGCCTTGCCTGCGCCCCAGGGTGTGCCTGGGCAAGCCTGCTGAGAGCCCCCTGGGGCTGGCCGGGGAGGCTGGGCAGGGCAAGTAGCTGCTCCACAGAACTAGCCTGCAGTCCCAGAGGGCGCCCAGCACTGCTAGAAATGGAGCAAGGGAGAGGGATGCTGCGAGTAACCCCCTGGGACAAGCAATGGCTTGGGGAGACAGGGGCACAGCTGTGTGGTGGTGGGCGGATGAAGTACCTTGTTTCTCCCTTGGATGCATGGGAGATCTGGCTCCATGGCTGCTTCTCTCCTCTTCCTTCTCCCCAGCTCACTCAGGGCAGGCCTCTCCTAATACAGATTTCTCCTCTGGATTCCAGGCCTGGATCAGGGATGTCCGAGCCGGCTCCACCATCTCCTGTGGGAACCATATCAAGTCCAGCTGCCACTTGATAGCGTTTAATGCTGACTCGGCAGGTAAGGAGATGGGCGAGCTGGAGTGGAGCCTTGGCGGAGAAGGGTCACTCGGATTGGTGTGGAAAACGGATAATGTGCCCATTAACCCTATAGTCATTGGGGCCCCATTGTGCTAGGTGCTGTGCAAACACACAGCCAGGCCCTCCCCTGAAGAGTTTACTTTCTATTTAGACAAGACGGAGAGAGGAAACATTCCCCCCATTGGATAGGTGGGGAAACTGAGGCACAGAGGGGCAGTGACATGCAGGGACTAGAATCTGAGTCTCTTAACACTAGAGGCTCCAGACTAATAACAGGGTGTAGTGAGTTAGAACAACCAACAGCAGGGGGTACAATAGGTGAAAGCAGAGGCAGGGAGGCTGGATTACAACAAGACCATGTGATTTCTTATCTTCCTTAAAGACAAGAATATAACGGACCTCAGTGTTCAGGGCCCCTGCCTCATGGGGAAGATGGCTTTAGCAGCACAGCACCCCGTATGCCCTGCGGGGCATTGGTTCGGCAGAATGTCTCCGGGAAGCATGGTGGTACCATGTCCCCCAGCTGGTACCATGGTACACGCATGGTGGACCACGTCCCCCACGTCTGTGGTTGGCGGCTGCGCCATTCGGGTACTGGCCTGGCTTTGCTTGGTTCCTGGGATCCACTGAGGTGTCGAAGTGAATGGGGTGACTGTCATCTCAGTCATTACTCGCCAATAACGGACCGTAACTGGAATGTGCTATGTGAACCCTGGTGACCGTTATCTCCCCCAATAGCGCTCTGTGCTTCAGACCAGGCTGATACGAAGCTGGCAAACTCCCTTGGTGGTGCGCTCTGCTAATGATTGGTCCAGGCACTCCCCAGCAATGGCTGGGGGAGCTCTCACATGCTTGCCCTCAGCCCTTGTGATGTCATCTGTGACTATGTGATACATCGTTAGTTTCACAACCCGAGTCTCCCTGTGAACATGCTGTGGGGAACCCAACACCCGCAGGAGGTGGGAGCTCCCAGCTGAGCTGGCATCAGAAGCATGTCCACTCTCCACCCCTGGCTTGCTTTTGGATGCTAGGCTTGTGTGGTATGTGGAACTCCTGGGTAGCAGGATGGTGTTCAGCAAGGGGCAGCCATGATGGACTGGTGGACAGCTTGTGACCTATGTTGTCTTTCAGGCGTGTTGGGCATCGTGCCGCTGGAGAGCTGGGATGGAAGGAAGAGGGCTGTGTCCCAGCTGTGCTGCCATTCAGGTGAGCTCCCAAGATCAAAACATACCGAATAAGGGACCAGCGCTAGTGGGTGGGAGCCAAGCAGTCTCAAAGGCCTCACTGACCCTACCAGGAAGGGACAGGTTTGTGAGACACTTTCCTATATGCTGAGAACAGGACCGAGAGCCACCAGATGCATTTCACAGGTCAGCCACTGGAAGGCAAGGAGTTTCTGTGATTAATGACCCGGTGCGGATTTGAACTGGTGACCTAGCGGTGAGAGTCTCCCTTGCCTACTGCTAATCCATTAGCCATGGGCTACCTCCCATGTCCTGCACGAGGTTCTTGCAACCAAGCAATGTCTGGATCTCTCTGTCAGTGGCCCTTTGGAAAGGAGCTGGCACTTGTCGCCCACAATCCCAATAACTGATATGCTAGGACAGAGCGCGTGAGAGTACTTGACCGCTTAGTGGGATTGCAGGGCAGCGCCTAGGCAGCCTGCTGGCCTGTCTCAACACAGGCTGCCTGCTCCAACCAGAGGATTTTTCAGGGCATATGCAGCAGATATCCGAGCCGGAGAAGTTTGAGGTGTGTGGTTTGTTTTTTTTTAATGCTTTATGGGTCTGTATCTCTTCGTTTTGTACAAATGGAAAAGTACGCAGTGACCTACTTTCTTGAGCGTGCCAGATGCAGCAGAGGGGCTGTTAATTACTGTGCCAGCCTCCCTCCCCCAGGTCCCTGCAGATGGAGTTACAAGGAGTGCCTTTCAGTGGCCTGCATGCCGAACCAGGGAATCACAAAGGGGTATTTTGTTACCAGCGGCGTCGCTTGCTGAAGCAGGGCCTTGCGCCGCAGTAGTGCATCCTGACAGAGCTGTGCATCTACGTGCTGGCCTTGGCGCTGTCTGTGCTGGACGCTGTCTGGCTGACGTCGTGAGGCTCCTGCGGATGTTCACACCAACTGTACGCCTTAGTTAGCAAGGCATTCCACTGCCTCTCTTGTAGGGGGCCAGCAATGGAAAATCCACTTAGGCTCGAGCCCTTTGATAGGTACAGAAGGCCTGAGTGCGGGTGTTAAAGGAGCAGGTTTGCTCCCATTACAGGGTGTACAAATCAAACCCAGAAAGCTGAGTCCCTGCTCTCCTGTGCTATGATGGGAGCTCTTCTGGCCTTCAGATGGGATGGCTGGATCTTTCACACAAAGTGCTTTCCTCCCAGCTGCTCCAGACATTTGAGTTGAGTAGCTGTCTCTCCTCCTCCTCCAGGGTTTTCAACGGTCTTCCGAGAAAACTGGAATTTCTTATATGGAACCAGTCGCCACATCCTCCCTTGTCAGGCCTTTTCGATCCGTCCCTAATAAAGCAGAAAGGGCACCAAGCCAGTTCTCTCCATCACTTGGCAGGACACCTGGGACAGGCTGGTTAGCTCATGGCAGCAGAAGGGAAAGGAAGGTGTCCCACAGCGGGTTAACAAGGGCTGAAATAGAGCCACTCTGCTCTCCTGAGATGCCTAGCTCAGCAGTGGGGCTCCAATGAGCATCTGATCTTCCGGCTGCTCGTGGAAATAGAGCTGCTAAGCCAGTGGAGGTTTGTCCATTGCTGCCTGCCAGGAGCAGTGGGGTCTGGGAGAAGCATGTAGCAAGGCTGTTGTAGGGCAGAGAGCGAGTGGGCCGTGGCCGCAGCAGACATGAACCTCTGCTCTCCTCTCTCCCCATCAGACGTGGTGACGGACTTTGACTTTTCTCCGTTCGACGCGCTCCTGCTGGCGACAGGCTCCGCTGATGAAACCGTGAGTGTAAATCGAAACAGGGGCTGAGGGGTGTGTGTACGGCAAACCCCCTGAGCAGGGGAGCGGGGTGGCCCTGTGGCTCTAGGGTCATCTCTGGGCTCTCCCATACAGAGAGCTGGCCCTGGTTTGTATGGCACCTTTCCTGGAGAGCTAAGGAGTGGGGCTGAGGGGCAGCCACAGGGCCGTGAGATGGGGATGTAAAACAGAGCTGTTCAGAGGAGGGTGCTCGGCCTTCGGACTGCGAGAAGGATGAAAACACCTTCTCAGTTGTGGGGGGAGAAGCAGCTGCCGAAAGCCCAAGGAGATCAGTCAGATGTGGGCTCAGTGCCCCCCTCAGGGTCTGGGGCAGTGACAGGCTATGGGAACTGTGCTCTGCTGGCAACAAGCCAAGATGTTCATAGCTGCCACCTCTGGCAGGGAGGGTGGGCTTGAGGGCAGCCGCACTTGTGAGGCAGGTGGGCTGTGTGTCAGCTCTGTCCATGCTGGGGAAGGAAGGGGAAAGGGCTGTGATTGCCTCGGATCTATAATCCCACACGGCACCCAGGCTGCATACCCAGTTGGGTAGGATTGGGGACCCCACAGAGGCTTCAGTCACCCTGCCTGGCAGGGACAAAGCCCAGGAGGTGAAAGGCCAAGCAGTTGTCGCCAGCTTTCTAGGTTAGGGGAGCCCAGTTCAAACCCCACCTCTGCACATGGGTGCTGTGACAAATGGAGCCTTCTGAGTGTGTGGCATCTTTCTGGGGGATTTGGGCATGGGGGAAGGGTCTTGCCGGGGTTCACCCTACTGTTTCGGGCTGTAGGTGAAGGTGTGGCGCCTGTCTGAGAGCGGCCAGGACCTGCCCTCCTGCCCTGGAGTGACCCTGGGGCCGGCAGGGTGCCAGGTGGAGACACTCCAGTTCCACCCGACAGCAGATGGCGTACTGGTGAGCGGAGCTGGGAGAACGGCAAAGGTCTGGGATGTGGCCCAGCAGAAACCCCTGACAGGTAGGCACGGCCATCGCAGTCCTGCAGAGCATGTGCCTTGGCCTGGGCGTAGTCTTCTCCTGAGTGAATGCTGGAGCAAGTCTCTGCTCAGCTGTATTTACTCCGGGAACTCCTGCTACCTGCCTGGGGCTAGACCCTGGGTTGGCTCTGTGTCCCCTTTGTGGATGCGGTGTCTTTCTGAACGACCTCAGTGGTGGTGAAAGCTGCCACCTGAGCAGTGCTGCAGGGCATGGGAAGTGAGTTTCCTAAACACCCATCAGCATCTTAACCCTGTCCCAAAAGGGCCACCCTACTGGGAGTTCAGGCACCGTGGCCCAGTTACTCCTTGGCCTCCCTGCTGAGACACCTGTCCAGAGCGTGTGGTGAGCAGTGGTGCGGGCACCTGCTCCCCTCACTCTGGGGCCTGTGTGAGACCAGCAGATGTGTCATGCTGGCCACTGAACAGCCCCCCTGTTGGGATGGCACTTGGGCACTCCTGGCCTCAGCTGGGTTTGAACCAGGGCCCTATGTGAAGGAGGCCTATGCTACTGCCAGTCCCTCGAGTGGGCCATTTCTCCTGGTGCTGCCTGCCTCTGAATTAGACTGGGAGTCGTTGGGGCTGGGGCACACCCCTCGTGTGAAAATGAACCCAAATTCAGTCGCCTGTTTATTTCCAGGCAAAAATCCAGCATTTGAAATGTTCGAAATGGAATTGTTAGCTGGAGAAGAGACTAATGTCTGCAGTGGTGCAAACTGCAGCCACTCTTCTAAAGTGCTGCCGTGTGCTAAGTGTCTGGCCTGTGACATGGCCTGGGATGAGACTGTATATTTGTGGGGTTGAATTGCCCCCCTTTTGCCCTCCCCTAGTGGTAACTGACAGCTGTGCCTGGCTGGCAGCTTGTGCCCGGCAGAGATTGACTCCAATTCTCGCTCACCTTCCTAGCACTGGAACCTCACGGTGACCTGATCCAGAGTGTGTCCTGGAAACAAGATGGCTCCCTCCTCGGCACCTCCTCTAAGGTGAGTGCAGTGGGTGGACCAGGTTGGGTGGGCTGGGAACCCCGAGTGCTATTTCCTGAGCAGATCTGGTGTGTGGCGTTCGGGGGAGGCTCTGAGGTATGATTGAGCCACTGTGTGATGGGAGCATCTGAAGATCATTCCCCTCCCTCTGCTGTGCTAGGAGTGCTGCTGCTGGAGCCTGGCCTGCTGCCTCTTCTCTCAAGCAGGCTGGGGCCTGTGGGCAGGCTTGTAGAACCAAGGCATGAGCATCAAGCAGCTTGTGCACTAGATGCCCAGGGTTCTCTAGCCTCCCCTGCAGCAGAGCTAAGCCTGGACTAGCCTCCTGTCTGCCAGGGAGCATGTGACACCAGTGCAGCAGGGGATGGGAGGGGCTGCTGGAGGGGCTGAGCCTGGCAGAGGAGAGGGGAGCAGGAGGAGAAATGGCAAAATGCAAAGAGCTCTCGCATGTGCCGTCCTTGGTCTTGTCCCTACTGAGCTAGCAGGCGCAGGCTGGAAAGGCCTGACCTCAGCTCTCCTTTGAACTGACCCTCGCCTACTCCCTGGCCCAAACCCCTCTCACCCCATGTGCTAGGGGAAAGGAGTTCAGCTTTTACCAGAGAAAGGGGTCTGACAGAGGTGAGTCCAGGGCCTGATGCAAGGGGAAGGGGCAAATCAGATACGTGGTGGCTGATTGACCTGGCTTGTGTGCTCCAAATGCACAGTTTGCTGCTTTCCAGTGATGACCTCCCACTCCAGTACTAGGGAAACGGCAGAGCCTTTGTCTAGAGAGCCACTCGCTTGGAAAGGCAGCAGGGAAACCGGCAAATGTCTCTTGCCATACGTGCTCTTACCCCTGAAAAACACCTTTTCTAGAACCACGAGGCTAGCACCATCAGTGTGTCACCTTCTGCTCCATGTGGTCCCCTCTCCTAGGTATTGCCAAGGTCTGTCATCAGCATTTCTGCTTCCCTCCTCCAGTCTCGGGTTGAAAACACTGTGATATGTTGTGAACAATTGGGCTGTCTCCCTGCAAAACAGCAAAAGCAGCTAACCCATCACCTTCCCCGTCCCACTGCTCTCCTCCCCTTGACAGCCTTTGCTGTTACCCTTCCTCTTAGCTCACCATGTGAACTCACTTAGCAGATTGGAGGCTGCAGTTCCCATGGTGTTCCTTGCCACAATTGGGCTGTTAATCCTGGTTCCCTGTTCAAATAGCATCAAAAGTTGGGTTCTGCCTCCCTAAATTCCTCCTGCAGTTTCAACTGGGTACAATAGTCACTTCCTATCCTTAGCTGTTATGCAGTGTTGCTGTGTGCTATTCCGTTCCACCTGTGACAGACCCAGACCAGTGGGGTACAGGAGTCTGGTAGAGGGCAAATATACTGGTCACTGGAGGAGTAGTTTTCTGTTCCCTGTGTGACCAGAGCAGGGGCTGCACTAGAGTAATCAGGAACCTGCTAGAACCAGTTAAGGCAGGCAGGCTAATTAGGACACCTGGAGCCAATTAAGAAGCTTCTAGAATCAATTAAGGCAGGCTAATCAGGGCACCTGGGTTTTAAAAAGGAGCTCACTTCAGTTTGTGGTGTGAGTGTGAGGAGCTGGGAGCAAGAGGCGCAAGGAGCTGAGAGTGAGAGGGTGTGCTGCTGGAGGACTGAGGAGCACAAGCATTATCAGACACCAGGAGGAAGGTCCTGTGGTGAGGATAAGGAAGGTGTTTGGAGGAGGCCATGGGGAAGTAGCTCAGGGAGTTGTAGCTGTCATGCAGCTGTTACAGGAAGCACTATAGACAGCTGCAGTTCACAGGGCCCTGGGCTGGAACCTGGAGTAGAGGGTGGGCCCGGGTTCCCCCCCCCCCAAACCTCCCAATTGACCTGGACTGTGGGTTCTCCCAGAGGGGAAGGTCTCTGGGCTGTTCCCCAACCCACATGGTGAATCTCTGAGGCAAGGAAATCCGCCAATAAGCGCAGGACCCACCAAGATAGAAGAGGAACTTTGTCACACACCCTAGAGGCAGCTGCATTAAAAGGTTCCTGTGAGGTGGGTAAGCTCTCTGGGGTCCTGCATGAACACAAGATGCTGTTTTCCTACAGTTATGTAAATCCACTAGTCATGGAGTGGGAATTCAAGAGGCTGGCCTGCACTCCAGAGACCTGCTCAGTATCTGAACACATCTGGTCCTAATGAACAATGTGACTCTTTCCTAATAAGAGTATCTGCAGGGAAGAGTTTTGGGAGGGCGGGGGGGAAATACCACTCTGTGGAGGCAGACCCCCAGTAAGCACCCAGAGCAACGCTTGATGTAGGGACTATCAGCTAGAGGAGTAATGGCTCTCTTTGAGTGGAACCTGCATTCTGGCTAATCTTCAGCAGAAAGCCTGCCAATGTCCCTGCAGGAGAGAGAAGAGGTTGAGTGGAGGGAGGGCATGACACGTTCTGTAGTACTATATGTTGCCAGCAATGACTAGTCAAATGTATGGGCAAGTGGCAAATGTGAGACCAGAGTGTGACCCTGGATTTGGTGTTGCTCCCTGAGCAGCGTGTGCTGCAGAGGTGGAGTATTCTATGCAATGTTCTAAGGCTATGTAACAGCTGGCTTGCTTGCATGGGTACCAATATAACCTTCAGGATGCAGGTCTATGCATAAGAACTGCAATCACAGAGATTAAGTCCAGAAACAAGCTTTCCTGGGGATATGCTCAGTATGTATAGAGAACTGCACCAGAGTGCACAGTAAGGATTTCTCCAAGTTTCTTTCAAGTCTATGGTAATAGTAAACTTGATTCTTCCTTCTGTAAAATAGGAATGTAATATTAATGGAGTCACTAGATGGTGCTATTGCAGATTGTAGTTCTCTTCATCTGGCTGAATAAGAGTTAAATATTTTATTTACTAGATACAGTATTTTCAAGACACTGCCACTTAACATCAGACTTAATCAGTTATTAATGTCATCATAACCAGTAGTCATAAGGCCCTACTTAACTTGCGGTATTGTGGATTCTGCAATATTAGGCTTCCATCACAATTTTGACAGTGGGAGCCCTGCCGTGCCCTCCCAGGCAGCTGACAGCAGAAAATCGTGGTAAAGTAATAATGTACTTTAATAATGGATCTTATTGTTTGTGGTAAAAACTTTTCTGCAATTTCCATGGCTTGTCTGCAACTCAGCTGCAATTTTTTGACAATCATTCTGCAATTCAAGTAGAGCCGTAGTGTATGTCTACACTACGGGATTAATCCGAATTTATATAATTCGAATTTGAAAAACAGGTTGTATAAAGTCGAAATGTATGCGGCCACACTAAGCACATTAATTCGGTGGTGTGCGTCCAAGTACCGGGGCTAGCGTCGATTTCTGCAGCGTTGCACTGTGGGTAGCTATCCCATAGTTCCCGCAGTCTCCCGCGCCCATTGGAATTCTGGGTTAAGATCCCAGTGCCTGATGGGACAAAAAAACATCGTCGCAGGTGGTTCTGGGTACAGCCTCACCTCCTCCCTCCCTGCATGAAAGCAACGGACGGCAGACAACCATTTCGCGCCTTTTTTCCTGGGTTGGTGAACACTGCAGACTCCATACCACGGCAAGCATGGAGCCCGCTCAGCTCAAGACAGCAGTCATTAACATTGTAAACACCTCGCGCATTCTCGTGGAGTTTATGCTCAGCCAGGACCAGAAAAACGAGGCGAGGAGGCAGCGGCGGTGGCAGCGCACTAACAAGCATGATGAGGACATGGACACGGACAC